CATTTCTCCGTATAATAATTTTACTCTGCACCAACTTGTTATGTCCGATTGCAACAATTGTCCTACGGATTTTATTTTCCAGTGCAGCGCTAGCGTCAAATTAAACACTGTTATTAGAATGATGAGGTCTGTGAAGCTGTATAATAAGGAAGAGCAGCTTATGAGACTCCGCGTTACAAAAATGTGCAGTCCAACATTAAGCATTAGAAATATCGTTATGTATAAATAAAGCTGGACAGCTGGTATTTTTAATGTCCGATCGTTGATATTTGTATTAGATATAAATCCACTAGTTCTCTCCAACGAAATCATTTTCGCGAAGAATAATTCCCAAAATGTTTTGTTCTGTTGCGGCGTGATTACGGACAACAAGTAGGTCAATAATCCAAGCAACTGTTCCATGTTTTCGGTAGCTGTCATCAAGACTCCTCGAGATTTATAGTAGTCGCTTACGTAGTATCTGTTGTACGTTGATGCGCACTCCATTGCCGTGCTGAGGACTATTAGTAGTGCTGTATATAAATACCACAACCATCCAGACTGAACCTTCTTCGAATCAAAGCTATAATTGGGCATAATACCCAAAATTTTGAGCGGAAATAGAAAATATTTAAAAAAGATGATATCCGATCTGGAACTCATGGCGGTAGGTAATTGAACACAAAAACTCGACGCAATTGTCATCACCGACAATAAAAACTGAGGGAACAAATTAAGCTAATGCAATATCCGATAGTACATATTTGTCGCATATTATCCTAACTGACACATCAAATGTTATGCTAAGCTACCAATTCCATCACTTTCATAAAATATTCGAAACCATTTAAAGTTTAACATTTAATAATATTAATACATTTAGGAACACATAATAGCAAGTGTTAATTTATTTAATTAGGAATATTAAGAATAAATTTTGGAAATCGAGTACACCAATTTTTTTTTTGAGTGAATCATTTTGTCTGCGAATTTTGATTGCAGTAAGTATTACAAAGTTTAGGAAAAATTCTTCGACTTTGTTAATTTAAGCTTCGGCATGAGATTAATACAGCTGAGCTAACAGAATTAAAGTCAGGATTATATTTTTCAATAAAAGTTTCCAAGCGTTTTTAATATCTGCTTCTTCTGGATGTTGAGCGTAGATTGGTTATTTCTTCTAGAGTTTCTACTTATTTATACGAGCTCTGATGGATATCCGGCCATCTGAACGTCGTCCTCGATATATTTAATATCTACATAATAGAGCGCTGTCCACCATGGCGCTAACGAAGCCATAATTTGCGATGTTGTGGTGGATTGGCGAGGAACTCAGATTATCTTCATGGTTGTATTGGTTTTTGTGATATGCTTAAACTTCACTATCAGTTGAGATTATTCCGCTTAGGGCAAACTTTCGCTCCGTCATGTACGTAATATGTAATATAACGATGAAAAATGACATATATCACAAATTCTAATTTCCAAAATCTTTTTGTTTTTTTTTGTTTATATATTTCTTATCAGAACGGATAAAAATAGAACGGAACAGAACAGAACGGATTAGCTGAAAAAATCACACAATTACACAAACAGGTAGTGTTGAAGAAGCCTGGGAAAAGTTTAAAGTGTACGTAATACACAGCACAACAGAATCGATAGGTTAAGAACAGCTGACACTAATGGACGAAAAAACAATAAATGCTAGTTTACAAATGAAAGAAAAAGGATCTGCCAAAATAAAAGAAAACCGCTTATATAAAATGTATCAATAACTGAAAAACAGCTGAATATGAGAAGTACAAGGAGACTAGAAATAGAACAACCAATGCAATCAAACAACTGAAGTAGGAATATTGGGAAAGACTTCCTAAACATTTGGAAAACGACCGATATGGCGGAAAAAAGAAGATATGAAGTTTGCTGGGGACAACGAAAAGGCAGGTAGATAAAAAGTACTAATAAATAACGTCAAAATCAGAGAGAGCTATTGTACTTAAAATCAACACCGATAACGACAGCAATAAGGCAGCTTGATCTCCGGGCATTGATAACATACCAAATGAGTTACTAAAATATGGGGATAAAACATTAATAGAAAAACTCACAAGCCATCAAATCATAATCTGCACAGCACATATTCCTTCTGAGTGGAAAACAAGCATATCCATTCTGGTATTAAAAAAAAAAAAAGACAAGAAGGGTGCTAATAACTATAGAGGAATAGAAGACCATATTGTGATCTCCATTGAAGCTACTTACAAAGATCTTAACGCAAAAGATTACGGGGACTATAGGGACTTCTGCCGAGCAACAATGTTTTAGAAAAACCCGATCCACAGTGGACGCAACGTTTATTCTTAGTCAACTAATTGAGAAGTCAATAGAATTTAATAATCGCATGCTTGTGTGCTTTGTGTATTTGATGAAGGTATTCGATAGAATAAATCTCCAAGACGTGATGATTGACATTCTAGTTGAAAATACCATTGACTCCAAATATAGAGAAATAATCAGAGAAGTAAATGCGAAAAATAAAACACAGATTAAAACAGGTCTCACCCATGAACTTTTAATAAAGAGCGGTATCAGACAATGTGACAGACAGCTTAAGCCCTACCCTCCTTAACATCGCAATTGATAAGTAGTTATTATTCGTGACTTCACCATCCCCCGTTCCCCGGGGGAGATTTTGTGATTGCAAATTTACAGATTCCCAAGCAACCGAAAAAAAAAATAGTTTGACCATTCTACGAGAGATGTCGCCGCCCATTAAGAGCTCAGGCTTCGATCGCCAGATGTCACCCTTAATGGGGGGTAGGGGGTAGTTTTCGCGTTAGTGCCTTTTTGGCAATTTCGCCCCGCTAGGGGTAGTTTTTGCGTTAGTGCCTTTTTGTTTTGACGTATTTTTGCGCGAGGTGAAAAAAGCGACCGGTGTGTCGCGCGCGGTCGGGGGATTCGAACCTCGAACCCGTTTCGCGCGCTACGTTAGTCGAGCCTAGCCGAGCCTAGCCGACGACGATTTCGCGGCGGCGGCGACGATAAGAGAATTCAACTAATAAAAGGTCGTCGAGGTCGCTTAAAATATAATAATTTATTGACAACATTTTTTTTTGCGGATTAAATAAAATGCAACAGGGAAAAAGACGTTTAATGACACTAATATCGAACAAATTGTTTTATTAATCATATACAAAACCCCATCAGGATAGACACATATTAATAAATATATTCGAACGATATGCATATATAAATAGCATATATGGACATAAATAGATACATAAATTAAACACAAATATAAACTACAATCATCTAAAGGAATCGTAACATATCAGTTTGCCAAAAGAAATATCTGCTTGGTATGTGGTCGATCAGTCAGTGATTTTCCCGCTGTCCTTTGAACCAACCACATTTCGATGGCCCCAAGCTAGCGTGTACTCTGAGCCGGGTATAAGATGTCGTTTGTCATCCGCGTAAGACAACGCCACCTTATTTTTCAGTTCGACGTACATATCATGTAAATGTGAGCGAAACGAAGACATTTGGCGCAAGATTAGCGTGCCTTCCTCGTCGACAGCGCGCTTATAGTCATCGAGACTAAGTTCGCGCTGGCTGACCGAGTCAGCAACGCCCTTGGCCTTTTTGGTCAACTCGTTTCCGTCCACATTTACGCAATAAGCTTTCGCTCCCGTACCCAAGAATTCCCTCAACGGCCGTCCTGCGTACTCGTCCTTCATTTTACCAAGAACGGACTTGTTTACAGGAATGCCGTGTTGGTTGTTCTCCGAGTAATTAGAAGTATCGAATTTGTCCAAATTTTCTTTCATATCTTCGTAGAAATTTTCGCAAAAAAATTTGGACAACGAGGCTGTCGGTATCGGTGTAGAGTAAGACGGCTTTGTCGCCGTACTTAGCCTTTAGATAGCCGTAAAAAAAGTCGTATATGAGAGTCTTGGATATGTCCAAAATGCAAAATCCGGCGTAAATAGGCTTATCATATACGACTTTAGTCCTTTCCATCTGGAGAGCGACTAGATTTTCGCTAATTCCAATATTTTCCCAATGGAAAACGAGCCGCACGTCCACCCTTTTGTCCACATTTTCCATCGTTTTTCCAAACACAGCGTTATTCATAAGTTTGAAAAAATCTTTTTCAAACTTATTTTTAGCTGTATTACGCATCGCCGTATTCAAGTCTATGTATTGTTTTAGCCAGGGAGATTGATCGAAAACAAGAACGCGATGGATGCGAACAAGCTTTAAACCGTTGCTTAAAGCCTGTTGCAGATTCCTATAATGCAATACATAATTACGTTTATTGTTTAAATTTGGAATAAGTTTTCTCATTTTGGTTTTCGCGATTGGCGAAACGATGGATTCCGGGCAAAAAGGCAATTCGTTGTGTGCGTCATGCAGCACTTCCGGATAGTCCAAATCTACTTCGAAAATATAGCCCCTAGGTGAATCGTTGGGGATACGCGTAATATCTAAATTTTGAATTTTGCCCTCCTCCAACCACTCGAAGTTTCCCGTTGGGAGGTATTGTGACATGGCCGCCCCGTATAAATTGGCAGCGTCCAAGTACATGACGTAAGAGGTAGGTTTGGAAGGGTCGTAATTAGGTAAAAATTTATTATTAGCCGCGGCCTTTCTCACACTACACTGACTGACTCCTCCGCGGATACCGTGCTTCAAGAAGTGTATCATGTCCGCGTCGGTCAACAGGTCCAGTTCGACCTTTGTCGCCTTAAGGGCGCTCGTCCATGATAGACCCGGTGTCGTATAAAACTGACTCGGGTCCAGACCGTACGTTTTCAGACACACCTCTCTGAAGTTTTCAAAAATATCGGCTAAAAGTAAAACGTCGGATTTTAAATAAATATCTGAATATTCGCCTAAAGTTTAACATTTGAACAAATTCCACACAGTCCAGGCACGCTTGTAATCCTCCCTGGTTATGTTGCTCTTTCGCATGGAGTCATAAAAGTCCTCGTGTGATGGCAGTTTGGTTTCGTCTAATTTTGAAAAAGAATCTAGATACGTATATGGAAAAACGCCCTTCTGTCGAATAAGTTGTTATAGACTCTCTCGAGGCCATAGACATTGACCGAAATTTCATTAAGTCGTTCAAAAGTGGATATGTCCTTAAGTTTAACGGGAAAATCGATACCTGTAAAATCCAGCTCGTTCTGAAATTCTACATAGTTACTGACCCTGTTAGCGTTATTTGTCCAGTGAATTGGGTGAAGAGCAGCCAAGATCGACCACATAAAGCATTTTTCGTCCGTATTTTGCAAGTTCAAAACAGCTTTTTTGGCTTCGATTTCCTTGGGTAGTCTAACATAGGACGACGCCCTTAGGGGATTGTACTTGTTAATCCCTATTTCTAAATGGAGGAGTTCCTGCAACGCCCAGCCTGTAAAAAAGAGAAAGAAATTAGTTTCGGAAATATACATTTTTATGAATCACACCGCTGTCCCTTTCCTGAAACTCGGACGCTTTGGTAGCCAAGATGTCGACGAACTGGACGTATAGCTCCTCCAGATCGGTGTTTCCGCTCACCAGCCGATATTTGGTATTGAAGGACTTGACCTCCTCTTGTTCCTTCGTCTGCAAGAGGAAGTTTCCGAATAGCTCCATACCGACTTTTACGTTGCCGTAGCGTCGGACGTTCGACTCTACCAACGTAAGGATTTTGGACCTAAGGTGGTCCAAGAAGCCCTTAACGTCGGTTGGGTTAACGGTGGACGCCAGACGGTATGTAACTATGCGGTTACGGAAGGAGGTCTGTATCATTTCTACTCCTGGCTCCTGCACCACGCTGCATTTTTGGCGGTGAGCCAAAGTACGCAAGTGTCCTTGCCATCTCATTGCAGGAATGGTCAAGTTACACTGCGTACAATGGCGCGTGGATGATGGTGATGATGATGATGTCGAAGCTATAAAATACAATATGAGAATTGTTTGGGATATAAAATCAAAAATCCTTACCTTCGGGTAGGTCAAGTCTCGGGCGCTTGGGTTCGTCTGCAGCAATAGAGGCGGCGGCGGGTCTTTTCGCCTTGGGAACCTCATGCTTCTCGCGTTTATGGCGTCGGAGAGCCCCCTCGGATTTGTATATCCCGCCGCAAACGTCACAAATTTGTGCTGCTGCGCGACAGTCCCCGTGCCTCGCCAGGTGGTCTTTACGGCTGAACGAGCGGTTGCAATATTCGCAGGTGAACATTTTTATTTGCTGCGAGGAATAGGCGTCTCACTCTCCAACTGTTCCAGATCTCTACTTGACACTTACCTTTTTTAAGTGGTGAAACACAAACAAAAATCCATAGAATGAAGTCTCACTATGGCGGCGGTCACTTGTTAATTAAGCCAATTTTTCTGGGGTAATGAATTTAAAATTACATTCGAGAACGTTCCTTCAGAATAATTAAGATTTGTGTTGGCGAGAATTGCGCAATATAACGCGACCCGCTGATAAAATTGGTCGTAGTTAGCGACCTAACCTAACCAAACCGTCGTCGTATGGGGCCGCTTCGCTTCGAAACTCGACCGTTGATCGCGGCGTGAATGTAAATTGCAGCGCGATTGTGTGCGATGACTCAGGCGTACCGCCGCCGTCGCGTTTGACAACTGGCTGATATCATCGCCCGCCGCGTCGCCGGTGTGCGGCAGCGGATGCATGACATCATCGCTTTGCGAAATGTTTAAACTAAACTTTGGCGGGTGAGATCATCGCGTCGCCTGCCTTCGCCGCAAAAAAAAATGTTTTAAACGAGACTTTCATATTAGACCGCTTAGGAACGGCATACGTGTTTTCCTGCGACACAAGAAATGGTTTAATCGAAACGTTTGATATTCTTACCGCATGCGTTTCTTTCGACATCGAGTTTATCGTCGCATTTCCTTCGACGCGAACAAAAACGCAAAAAAAATCTTTAAACGAAACCAGAATCTAAATGTTCGATGAGGGAGAGTGCATCATCACCCCGCATTACTTCAACCACATCCCTCCCTGTATATATATATATATATATATATATATATATATATATATATATATATATATATATATATATATATATATATATATATATATATATATATATATATATATATATATATATATATATATATATATATATATATATATATATATATATATATATATATATATATATATAGACACTCCGTAATTTCATTTTGTCAGTATGTTATACTTTGCGTCACCAAAAATAATTGTTCGATCGCAATGCGAAATAAACATTCCTGTTTAAAGAAGCAAAATGGTCCATATCTGTGTCGGACCTGTCGAAACCTGTTCCGTAGAGGTTTTGGGCCTGTTTAAGGCTGTCCTAGACCTGTTCGAGAGCTGTTCCATAAATATTTTAGACCTAATTTAAATCTGACCAAAAGCGTCCTGGCTAACATTTGAAATAAAATGAAAATATTTTAACGCGATTTTATTTTTATATCAAAATACAGTTACTGAATATTTTTTCATTTTTATACAATATGTCCTGGAGTCAAATTTTGGAAATATCCGATTTTTGCTTTGTATTCTTCCGCACGTAAGCGCAGTATTTGGAGATCGGCCTGAACAACTGCTATCTGAGTTTCGAGCTGCTGGATACCTTCTTCACATTGCATCAGCTGATTTTCCAAATTGTTTTTCAAATTGAACGCCTCACAAACTACCCTTTTTTCGTTGTCATCTTTGAACGCCTCGAACCATTCTCCTTGTGCTTGCGGTAGAGATTCAATTTTTATTTTCTTAACTCGTGAATTTGCAGCAGTACGCTTACGTTTTGGAATATCTGTTGGTGGCTGCGAAGGCGGTGGACCCATCAAACCATTCTCTTGCAATAAATTTAAAAAATTATCCGGCAACACAATTTGTTCCATGTCTGTCTCGGACGCTCACAAAATCAAAAATAATAGAAGAAATTTATAGGATATTCGCGGTGTCGATCCATGAATCATGTGACTTGTCCAAGCCCAACCAGCGCACGAGAACCTTATTTCCTTGTTTGCGCAACACCTTTTCGACGAGATAGATGTCAGGGTTAACGGTTTTCTGCAATTCTTCCTGGTAAAAAGCGCCCATTACAGGCTTACCCTTCATATCTTCCAACAGATAAGTTACCGGATCTGCACTTTTACGATTTTAAACAATTCCGTGGTCCAGTTGGGAGTATAACCTTTGCTAAACGCGTGCTTGGTCTTGCTGATTCTTACAACGTCGTCCAGTTTAAGTTTAGATGGTCCTACAATTTTCAAGTGACTGTACGCTGATTTCAGCAAACTAGGCGCGTTATCTTTGTTCACTTCTTTAGGTTTCATTCCGGTGGTCCTGTGCACGCTACTGTTATATTTTTCGACAACAGAGGATAAAACATCTATCCATTTGTAGGTGCCGTTTAACGAAAAATATCTAAATAATTTTTCCTTGAGAGTACGTATAACTCTCTCGGCTACGGCAGCTTTCGCGTTGCTATATGTACTGTAGTGATTTATGTCAAACCTACCCGTCATTTTTTTTAAATGGATATTATAAAACTCTTTGCCGAGATCAGTTTGCAGATTTTGCGGCCGGCGTCCTTCTTTGAGAATTTGGGTAAACGCTTTGGTAACTTCAACACTGGTTTTTGTTTTTAACGGTCGACACCACACGTATTTTGAAAAGCAATCGATCACGACTAGTATGAATTTAAAGTTTTTATTTTGTTTCGCATATCGGTCTAGCTGAGCCAAATCCGCTTGCCACAAATCATCCAGCCCTCGTATTATAGTTCTGCGACGCGCGTAATTTCTGCGTGCCGGCTTGTGCAGCTCTCGGACGAGTTGTGCTTTCTCACTGCTCATTACTTTGTCGATTGCCCGTCAATTTGAATTAAACACCATTTTAAATCATTCATTAGTTGTTGTCGCTAACTGATTTATTTGGTCCAAACCCGTATTGTATTTGTTCACCCATTGTGTATATCGGTTTTGTTGTGCCAAAAGTTTATTAAGTTGGGAATTGATATCTGCCTGATAGCTCTTAAATGTCTTCTCAAGCTCTTCTATTTTGGATAATTGTTTTTCCAACTCTTTCATTGAATTATCGTATTTCTCGTTAAGGTGGTGATTAATGTGTGTACCAAATTTATTAATAGTCATGACAGCGGTTGTTACTAAAATAATTTTCTAACTCTCAGTCGTGCTTATTTTATAAGATAACTTTTCCCTCTCTTAGTTCTTCAATAATTGAAGCTATTTCGTTCTCATGTCCCGTGTGCCCCGCAGCAGTAGATGCCAATAACAGTCTTAATCTATCGACAAGCTCGTTAACATTATCCCAATAAATATAATCTGTATTTTCTTTATTTGATTTTAAAGTTAGCCCCGTCCCAGTTTTGATTGTCCTATAAGGCGGAGGCACTTTAGAAAATGCGTCAGCTAGTCGTCTCACCGGGTTTTTTGTTTTTGTTATTCCTCGCTCCTGTAAATAAGGTCCAATTATATTTATATATTTATATGATGCATTTCCTTGCACTTGTTCATTAGGATCATGGTTTCTCCGATACGCGTTTGTTCTTTTCAGTATATCCATATAATTATCTAGATCTTGCGATTTGAAACCGACCGGCACCTTCTTGAAAAGTAACTCATACAAACCCACAGTCCCAGGGTATGTAATACCTTGTACCTTCACATCTTTACCGACAATTTCCACAGCTTTTTGGGTTAAGCCCAGAAAAAAATTATCGTTTTCTATGTCATGAACGATACCATAATTATGGTCAAATCAAATATATGTTGGGTATCTTTTACGCTGTCATCAATGTATGTTCGTGGTAATTTATCAAAGTCATTCAACCATTGCTCGTAAGCGGGAGTGTCGACGTAATCCTGTATAGCTTACTTAGTTTGTTCTAAAATATCTGACAGATTTCCCAACGTAGTATCGCTGTCCGAAAGACCCGTACTTTCAGCTACAACATTGTTGTTGGATCGACGGAAAGGAGGTATCAAAAAATGAGGGCAATTCTGAAGGTAAGATTGGGGTTTTTCCGGTTCTTTTCTCCTTTATTTTGGTAGGCGTCGAGGTTAACACTTCATGTTTAATATTTTCTTTTTCTTCAAACGGCTCTTGTTTGATATCCGTTTTATTTATTGATGAAATTAATTGCTGCAGAGGCTGAGTTATCGGCTTATAGGTTTGTTCGAGTTGCGTCTGGGATTCACTTGCGGCTTGTTTTAGCCTTTGATATTTTTCTCTAACTGCGTTTCTTGATTTTATTAGCTCCGTCGCTAGGCGTTTATCCATTTTGGGATATTATATATAAATAAAGGAATCGAAGTTTTTCCTATATCTGCCCTTATCTAACTCACAATCTTTGTCAATCACAAGAAAATTATAAGGTTCGTTCCAGCAGTACACACAGATATTTCTAAACTGTTCAAATGACATGTCCAACATACAGTGATCGTTATATATATGCTTTAAACTCATCATGTCTTGCTTGAATAAAATCAGTAGGTTGGCGTTTTCCCTGATAAGTCGCTTGAGTATAGAAGAATATCCTTGAAAAATAAAGAAACAATCGATGTTTTTATGCCTACCGTGAGTGAAATAATCTCTAATGACACTTTGGTCGTGGCAAGGAATATCATCAAATATTATAACAGAATTGGGTTTAATTTCCTGAGGAGAAACGATATTCTGATCGATCTCAAACTCAAAAAAGCCAATCTCTTGTAAAGGCTTTAGCAGTTCTCTCAAATACACGTATTTTGGCTGTTGCAGGGATTTGGAATATAAGTAAACGTTTTCAAATCTAATTCCATTAGGATGTTCGAGCAATGATAACATGACGTTGGTTTTACCC